TTTTTATGAACAAAACCTCTGTAAGTAAAGTAAACTAAAAAATTTTGAACACTTTAAAAAATCTTCAAAAAGAAAATAAATAAAATTTCGCAAATTATGCTTAACTGCGCCATCCATTTAAATCTCAGGAAGGAGATGGAGATAGAGAAATATATTTTATAACGCAGTCCAGGCAATAAACAAGCAGTCTGAAATGCTACAGGTTCAAAGCCGCGGGATTAATGAAGACATGAAAATTTATTCAGGTGGAAAAGGGGAAATTTATTTCAGCGCGAGAGCTCCACACAACCACGTGTGTTAATTACGCATGGGTGGATAAGCAAATAAAAAGGTTTTTTTTGAAATTTTTCATTGTTTTTTATGTCAAAATAAGGCAAAAACGTTGAGAAAGTGAGGGAATTGCCTTCTCTGAACTATTTATTGTTCCTATTTTGTTTCTTCTTCATATTTTTACGCAGATTTAGAAATTTTGATGGTTTTTTTATTCTTATTTTTCTTCCTATGCCGAAAATTTTCAGAATCTCTGAGCGATAATTTATTTTTTCTTCAATTTGCAAATCATATTACACGTTACACTGTTGATGCTGTTAACGTTGGCGCTGCTGCTGCTGTTTTGTTGGTGAGGGTGACGATGACGAAGATGAAGATGATGTTGCTTATGATGTTGTTGATGTCATTTGCTATTTTGTGTTTTGGTTTGTTGAGACCTTAAGCTAAACTGCCTGTTGTTTTAGACATGCATTCAAATGACTATTGCACTTTTAAGAATTTTTATGAATAAGATGAATGAACAAGATAGGTAAAAAACATTTACTCGATGTTAATTTCTTCATTTCAATTGTCTTCTACAAAATAAACCGACATAATCAAATAGTTTTTACTTTTCGAAATTTTGTCATTTTACTTTTGCAATTCAGTTTCGCGAAATTTCATTACCTGCTATTATCGGTTTGTTTGTTTTTAATCATCTTACCCCATACCATCTCATCCAACTTATTTATTTTTATTTTCAAATTCCTAATGTGGCTATTGCATGCCTACCGCCATAGGCACGTTCAAATTAATTTTTAAATTTTATTCCATTATTATTTTCATTATTCTTATAAAAAAACGTTTAATAAAAATACAACTACAAGAAAGATTGTAGGATAAAAAATTAGTTACGCAAATGTTTTAATATGCAAAATAATATTAAATGAAATAAACTGAAAAATGAAAAAAATGTGGTCTTTGGGTTCCTTCTGATGTTGCCAGTAAATATTTTTCACAAAATAATTTCAATTTTTCGTTTCTTTCCCTTCAAAAAGATAGCAGAGGTGATATTTTTTCTTGTTCGTTTGTGGCTTGTTGTCCCCCATAATTTTTCACATTTTACTACCAAACAACAGCCAGCCACCTTGTTTCGTTAACATAACGTCGCAAATATTTTCATACCACTGTTGATTATTTAGGATTTTTTCACAATTATTCATTAAAATTACCAAAAACACATGTGAATGTCTAAGAATCCTTATATCAGCTATATATTTCATGCAATAAGCGGGAATCTCTCAGCATTCGATACAAGTCACTACAACGGTACATCCAGACGTGTTAACCACTAGACCATCTCGTTGTTTTGTTAGTATTGTTGGTGTGGATATTTATTTTAGGGAAAACTGAATTGTTTCTCGTCGGTGGTTTCACGAGAAAATTCGTTTCTCTAGTTCATTTAGCCTTAATTCCATTTCGTTTTTCTTGTTCGGAGTTTTTGCGATTTTTGCTCGAAATCGCAACTCAATAAAACTAGTCTTATCAGAAAATTTATTAAACTATCTTGTAAAATTCAGTTGGATAGATGAATCAAAAGTTAAAAATAATGCTTCAGTATATACACATGCGTGTGTAGAAAATTTTTTTTATTCATTTAATGACTCATTTGTTAAGCCATTCAATGATTATACATACTTTCAAATTGAAAATGTTAAAAAAAATATACAATGCCAAATATATGATATATGCAACGAATGTTTGCGTCATGTGATGCACCGGCGCCATTCTGCAGGGCTTTCATTATATAGTTGCACATTTGGGGCAGTTAGGCAAGCATGAATGTGTGTTTGTGTGTGTGTGTGTTTGTGTGTGTGTATATGTGTGTGGTGTGTAAATGAATTAATAAAGAAACATTTTAGCTTTTATGAACTTATACTTTAATTCGTTTGCAAAGCTCTTTTTCGCTAATTAATTTAACATTCTGTTATTCGCTTTATTATTAAGTTTATTTATTATTGTTCTGTGTATGTTATTTAATCCGTTAATATCATTTCCACAATAGTTTATATTTATTTGTTTAATTTCAAAATAGTATTGCTCCTGAACATTTTACAACCTCCTTACAATGTTTGCCGGATTATTGTGACTGCATACCTGCCATTTCTTTGATGCAACAATTTGCTTCGCTGTTGATCAATATAAACGAAGGCAAAAATGTCAAAATGTTAGCAGAGGATGTTGCATGTTGCACGAGTGAACATTTTCGGATTTTCATTTGGCCGTGAGGTCGGTTGCATGTGGCACAGCATATATGTTGTTGCTTGTTGCATGTTCCCCGTTCCATGATTTCTCAACGTATACTCTGAACTAACCTTGTAAAAAATTCTGTGCACTATTTCCAATCAATCACACGTTCAATCAATGTGGAGTATCAAAATTGTTTTTTTTTATCGTTTCGATTGTTATCGCGTATATAGTTATGAATGTCTAGAAACAAATGTTGCTTCAACAAATGTTGCTTCAACAAATGTTGCCATATACATGTCGCATGAACAAATGTTGCCTAATACACGTTGCCTTGCTTGACGGCGCACCGCTGATGGACCAACTGCCTGCTCCATGATACTTCATTCAACAATATTCTCAGTCTTATTTTTTCTTCCTTGTTTCAGAGTCTTTCCTTTTCCATTACTTTTATTTTCGATTTGGCATTTTTTCTTCAATTTTATTTCTTTCGTATAAGCCTCTTTTGTTTTTATAAATTTTGTTTTTTTTTCTAATCTTCTTCTTCTCTCTCTCCCCCTCTCTCTGTCTCTCTCTCTCTCTCTCTTGTTCTCTCTTTTTTTTCTCTCTCTCTTTCTCTTTCTTTTTATTGTGTCTTTTTTCTCTGTTTTCTTTTTTTGCTTTTTCTTTTTTCCGTTATTTGATAATTTTTTCCCTCCGTTTTTCCCCGCTGGTTGTTTCATTTTTTTTAGAGTGGTTTTTATAACTTTATTTTTACTTGATCCTCTCTGCCTCATAAATTTTTTATTCTGCACAAGGACACGACTGAGAAGAAGTCAGCGAACAACAGTTATGGCTGCTGTCGAATGGGCATTGTAAGGATTAAACAGCTGTTTGTTTATGTGCTGGTCTTCTCCAACTGTTCCATCTTTCTCGCTCTCTCTCTCTTTCTCTCCCTTTCTCTTTCTCCCTTCCTCTCTTTTTTTGTTATCCATCTATCTATCTTATCTAGCGTATTTATGCATGCAGAACAGCCAACGATATCAATCTACAATCTGCAAACAGCTGAGACGCTGAACTAAATTCAGCCAACGACGCACATTTATTTATAAGCCTCCCTCCGTACAACCTCAACGTTAATCTTAATAAATTTCATTCACTTACTTGAGCAAAAGAGGAATTTGTACGTAAAAATATCAAAATCAACTGAATGATGTATTGTAAGAGGTGGTATATTAACACGCACACACACGCACGCACACACACGCACGCACACACACGTCCACGCACATACACACACAAACAAACACATACTCGCACATACATATAGATGTTATTTACATATGTATGATTACATTATGAATTTTCGTTAATTTATTTACGTTATCATTTATATTAACGCGTCAGGATTCTTATACGTACGCTCGCTGGAAAGTGTGTTTGCATAATCATTATGGGGTAAATATACGATAGGATGTTATTGCGTATGTATGAATAAGTAAGTGTGTGTGTGTGTATGTGTGTGCGCGTGTGTGTGTGTGTGTGTGTGTGCGTGGTTTTCGAGATGTGTGGTCTATGTTGTGAATGTTTGGCTTGTCTTGCGTGTGTGTGAGATGTTATGCGCGTTTGTGAAGTGTATTAAGTTTCTTTCTCTCTTTCTCTTTCTTTCTCTTTTTTTCTCCCTCTCTCTCTCTCTCTCTCTCTCTCTCTCTTTGATTGTTTTTTGTGTGGTGTTGTGTCCTGTATGTATTGTGGTCGTCAGTGTGAGACTGGGAAGATATCTGGCAAGTCATAGCGCAATAAGTTATTGATTTCATTTTTCTCCATTAATATATTTTTGTATGTTCCGTTCAAATGCGTCCAGAATTTCAGATGTTATTTGAAGGAATGTGTCCATTTGTGCTTGTGTTGATCAGGCGCGCTCTGCATGCGCTGGTGGGGGCGAGAATAATGAAAAATTCCAAGATGATGATGAGGACGATGATGATGATGATAACGTTGGAGATACTGATGATAACGTTGGTTATGGTGATGACGACGTTGATGATAATGATGAAGACGATGATGGCGATGACTATGATGATGATGATTATGGCAATGATGACGATGATGATAATGATGATGTTGACGATTATGATGGTGGTGGAAGGGAGAATGATGATGATGATGATGACGAAGATGAAGATGAGTTATGAAGACATTTGGAAACAATTAGCAGGCATGCAATAACTGTCACCATGGCGAACTAGTTGATGATGATGTATTAAAATAGCGTTAGTTGTAATAAAGAAAAAAGAAAAATAACAATAGATTATATTTTCAATAATAAGAATAAGGTTAATATTTTCATTATTCTCATTATCATTATCGTAATGTCGGTGATGCTTTGCAGTTGGGTTTTTCCGATTGTAATGACGATTAAAATGACGACGACGATGATGATGACGACGATGGTGATGGTGACGATGATGATGATGAGGAGGATGACGATGTCAACCCTATTAATTACACAGCACGAGCTGATGATGACCGTGGAGTCGATAAACTTCATTTGCAGTATGTTCAACTTGGCTTACAGGCCCGATCAGCTATATCAGCACGAAAACAAACACATGAAATATCCATTTAGTCACTCACAATCATCATCTTCATCATCATCTTCATCATCATCTTCGTCGTGGCCTTCACATGATACCGTCTTAAAGTCTCCACCATCGTCGTCATCATCATCATCAACATCATCGTCAACATCGAAAATGTTGCTGAGAATGTTGGAGAACGTTCGATCGATAAATTGCAACAGTGAACCAACGGATGTGAATTATTACGGAGCAGAGGTTATCAACATTGCCAAACAGGTTTCTGTTGTTGTTGATGTTGTTATTGCTCTTGTAGTTGTTGTTCCTGCTCTTGTTGTTGTTGCTGCTGTTGATAATGTAGTTGTTGATGTTGTGTTGTGTTGTGTTGTTGTTTAGCATTCGATTTGTTGTCGTCGTCACGGTGTTTGTGTCTGTATTTTTACCTCTTGCTATGTTTAACTAACCAATCATGCTCATCCAACAGACAAGTTCGTCAGAAATTAATCATTCTCTTATTTAATAATTTAAGAGCTGATTAATTACCCACCGCTGAATGCATTCATGACATAGTTGATTAATTAGTTAGATGATTGATTAATTAATTAATTAAATGATTAATTTGTTAATTGATTGATTGAACAGACGACGGTGAATGGATTGTTAGGAGGGCAGGTGATGTTCGACAGGTGGGGCAGGAGGAGGGGGGCTAAGATGGACCTTATGGAAATCAGTATCAGTAGGGGGCTGGCCAAGGTGATGATGGTGATGATGATGTGATGATGATGGTGATAATAAGGGAGATGATGATGGTATTGATGATGGTGATGATGATGGTGGCGACAATGGTGGTGGTGATGATTTTCCTCTCTTTCACACTAATCAAAAACACTTCCAACAAAATATACTTGCACAGTCAACAACAATAAACGCATTAGAAACTTTTGCGTGAAACTTTTTCACATGATGACAATCTGGGATTTGTCGGAGTTTGAACCTGGTCTCCGCAACTCAAAATCGGCATCTTTAATCATTAAACCTTCATGTCTTTCTCTATTTATTTATGATGATAAGGAGCATTTTGATGATAAGGAAGATGACACCGATGATGAAAATGATGATAATTTAATTGGTATCGTGATAAGACGGATTGTTAGCTTTAGCTGGCAGGCCAGTTTATGGCCACAAGGAAATTACCTGAATAATATTGTAATCAATGTGATGAGCCTAAAGCTGTTGATGCTGCTGCTGATGATGATAATGATGATGATGACACTGTTAATTACATCAATTCATTTTTGATGTCATGACATTTAGATGTTAATGATATCTTGATGATAATGATGATGATGTCGATGATAATAATGGTAATGACGACAATAAAGTGATGATGATGACCAAGCGACAACAACAGTTTGGCAGTCAACGACATTAATCACATTAACTCGTTGTTGATGTCATGTCATTTTTCTACTAATGTTATGATACTATTATGATAATTATGTACTGCTTAGGTATCCTTTTAGGTATCCTTTTTGCAAAGATATCATGATAATTATTAATATTATTGGTCTCGTTTTGTCTTTACACCTTAAAACGATTCAAATATTATTACTATAGCAATTATTTTTATTATTGCTTTTATTTCCTGTGTTTAATTATTTATATTGGCCGCAAACATTAAAGATAAACAATTTCAAATGTTATATAAACTTTGACTGCATTGTTTTATCATCATCATCACCACCGTCGTCATCATCTTCATCCACATCTTCATCATCATGGTTGTCATCGTCGTTATCATACTGGTCATCATCATCATCATCTTCATCAACATCTTTATCATTTTCTTCTTCATCGTCTTCATTATCGTCTCCACACTTTTCAATTACGTACCTAATTAACAGACAAGCAGAAGCTCATCAACCCAATGAAATCAGACTTTGTGCCTTTGTAATGCTGCTATGAAGAATGGCTCAATCACATCACGCCGACAAACAAACAAACAAATAAACTTAAAAAAAACAAACATACAAAAAATACATATGTATATGAAACAACAAAATCGTACACAATCACACGAACAAACACAACGCATATTTATATATATTTTTATTTGTATGATTGTTCGTTCGTTTGTTTGTTTGTTTGTTTGCTTACTTATTTTGTTTATTTGTTTCATTTAGGAGTGAATAAATTTATAGAATGAATTATACCAAAACAAAATTCAAACGGACAAGAGACAAATATAGATGAAGAATAGAACGTTGAAAGTTAAAACATACAAAACAAACAAACAATGAAGCGTTGAAATATACAAACAAGCAATAGAACATTAAAATATACAAACAAACATACGAATAATTTTTAAAACATACAAAGAAGCAGCCATAAGAATGATGCCTAAAAATAATTAATTAAAATTTTTTTTCGTAAGATGAGACACACAGATGAAAAATGAACTAACATGGAGCACCAAACACAATTAAACAAACAATGAACAAACATACAAATGAACAAATAAAAAACGGACATACAAAAATAAAATTATACAAATGAACAATTAGACATCTAACTAAACGTAGAAGAAAACTCTAATAAAATAAACAAAGGCAGAAAAAGGATAAACACACATACACGTATACATACAAACAAACATACAAATAAGAAAATGCAAAAACTATGTAAACATGCAAACGTACTAAATACAAATGAACAAGTGTACGGACAATTAAAAATTTTCGCTAAAAGGCAGAAACAAATTTTCGAACAACACGCTCGATTAAAAAACTTCTAAAAAAGACTTCTCATTTCCAACTAAGTATGTTGTTTTTGTTGTGCAATTAATTACTGCTACTACTGCTACTACTATTATTATTACTGCTACTACTACTGCTGCTGCTACTACTACTACTACTATTAGCGCTGCAGCTACAACCATTTTCACCGCTACTATTTCGTTCTACACACTGTTGAATTATTTTTCACGTCAATTATTCAATTAGAATTTACTGTAACTAAAGGTTAAAGGTCACTTTTTGTCTGTATTTATTATCCAGACGTATTTGTTGCAACACACGCACACACACACACACCAAACACACACACAAACACACGCACACACAGCGTACAAGAATACGCATAAAACCACGCATCACATACAAAGCGTGTGATTGGCGGGGATCTATATGCATTCAAACCCGGTAACCACAAAAGAGGACCGCTTGTCTTTAACAATTACGCCACCACTTGTATCGATACTGATACTTTACTTGTTATAAACTCTCACTTCATTTTTATTTATACGTCAATTTTTATGTTAACTTTTATGTTAATTTTCTTGTTAATATTTATGTTAATGTTTATTTAAATTTTCATGTTTATGTTTAGTATTTATGTTAATAATTATGTTAATTTTTATGTTAATGTTTATGCTAATGTTTATATTAACGTTTTGGTTCATGCTCCAATTTTTAATAGTTTATGCTATTTATCTTCAAAAGAACTAGCAGCCAGTCCCAGCACTGATCACATCTCATTAAACGTCAGTCAAAAGTGACAATGCCTGAGAGATGACCACTGACCAGCCAGCCAGCCAGCCAGCCAGTCAGCCAGCCATCACCATCATACAGCTGAAATAAATAACCAAACATTCACTACCTGTCAATACTTAGATCATTCATTCGTTCGTTTGTTCGTTCATTCGTTCGTTCGTTTGTTCCTCCATCCATCCATTCATTCATTTGAATCTAATCCTTCATTCGTTTATATATTAAATCATTTTCCATCTAATAATTATTTTATTCATTCACTCATTCAATCATTCATTCATCTCTTTATAGCTGCACTCAATTCATCAATACTAATATTACTAAGATTACTGTATACTACTCAAAAAATATATTTTTACTCAAACTTATGCTCCGATAAATAGTTTACTATGCCTACCAAAACGGTCTGCACCAACAATTGTGCAATGTTTTATGGCTGTGGTGGGCAGTGATGTGATATATTCCCACACTTAATCATCGGCTAGATATTTTTTCAATTTTTTTATCATTGTTCTAGTTTGTTTGTGTGAACTTTTTACTTTTTTTTCATACCGTTGTTGTAGAATGTTTGTTCTTTGTTTTGTGTTTTTGCTGTTGTTTTGTGGCAACTTTGGTCGCCTTTTCGAGTGTTTGTCTTGAATTATCCATGTTTTTGTATTCTTTGCTAGGTTATTTATCATTTTTCATACCAATGGCATTATCAGGCATGAGTATTCGTGATAATAAATAACGCAATTAAATCTACCAAAATCGCGTTCTCTATATAAAAAAATTTTCATCGATAATGATGACGTCATTTTATACCGTTACATCGCACACTCATACATGCACACGCACACACGCACATACACGTACACATACATACTCACCTACACACGTACACACACACACACACACAATGACAGATAGGCTCATGGGTTGAAACAAGGGGCCTTCAAATATCATCACCCATCATCATCAAACCGAAACCTGACAACACATTTGTCAACAAAACAAGAATCGTCACTTCTATTTTGGTATTTATTTGTATTTGTTTGTATCTTGTTGAATCTGTTTGTATGGGATTGTATCTTTTCTTATCTGTTTGTATGTGACTGTTTCTGTTTGTATCTTTCATATCTGTTTGTATTTTTTGTATCTGTTTGTATGTGTTGTATCTGTTTGTAAAATTTCGTATCTGTTTTTTTGTGATTGTATATGTTTGTATAATTTCGTATCTGTTTGTATGTAATTGTATCTGTATCTATTCGTTTGTTTCTGTAAAATTTTAGTATTATTCATTTTTTTAATTTTATGTTCTATGCATATTTTATGCAATCATCTCCGGAAGTTTTCCATAGAGGAAATGTTAAAATTTTAAATAAACGACCCAAGACATTAAAAATTTAGACCGAAGACGATTTAAATCGTTTCAAAACGACAAATTGACGTGTGGCACGAATGGAAATATTTTCAGGCACATTTATGAAACCATAGTTTTAAAATTTTTTGAAGTTTTAACGGCCTTTTTTCTGTAAAGGCAAATGCAGTGAACAAAAAATGAACATAGGACGAAATAATGAGTCACTTATAGAGAGTCACATACAATATATTAACGTGTATTTAGACGCTTGAATAAGTTTGAAAACTATACTGACATTTGGACGCTTGGTCTTAAATCTATATACAACATTTACCCTCCCATGGAATTCTAGATGAGATGATTAATCTATAATTTGATTAAACCCTAATCTAAACAACGTAATTCATTTCAACACACATTCAAAAACACACATTCAGAAAAAACGGTTTAAAAGGAGCAAACTTTCACACATGCCGATAACACAGATACACACTCACTCTTTCACACACACACACACACACACACACACACACACACACACACACACACACACACACACACACACACACACATACACACACACACACACACACACAACTTAACATTTAATGTTTACATTTGAAATGATTTAACACAATGACGTGAACGTTACGGCCTGTACTAATATGCACGCCCGAGTGAACTGCTGACATTTCAATCAGCTTAATGTTCACGTTGGCTGGATCCCTGCCTGCTTTTATGGTCCTTGGCTGACCGGAATCTTGTAGGGGCTTTTCTTAATTCTTCCTCATCTTCCACTTATATTATCACATAAATTAAATAGGTGCAGATCATAGAGCATGTATACATTCGGTTGAATCATTCTTCGAATTTTATTTTTTCATTACAAACTTTTGCTAAACAAAAAGGTCATATTGAAATGTTGAATTTTAATTTGAAAATTTTCAACATCAAACATAAATTTTGTTTTTTTTTCAACTTTAACACGAATAAATAAATTAAATTAAATTATTATCTTTGAAAAACAAAACTTATGTTGTTATATTGTATGACTTTGACTGCTTCAAGAGATATCGCCGTGGCTGGGCCAGTTGTTTGGAAT